AGGTCCAGATCCAGTCCAGATATATGTAGATATGGGAGTTGGTGGCAGTGAAGCCATGAGACTCTGAAGCAGATATAAGTCCCAATTTTTGGGAGATTTGTTTTAAAAGCGACCTGTTCTGCTAATTTCCTGCTTCGTTTATTCCATGACTTTATCAGAGTAGCTTGGCATGAGTCACAGTTCACAATAACACTCATCAGTTCATCCTGTCTCATCCTTGTGTCTTTAAACCAGTTTTTACCTGACTGTTAAGTCAGAACTCATTATTTGAAGCTTTCATGCTTATTAGGAGCCTGCATCAATATAAACACTAATATATTTAAACTTACCGACCATTTTATTAGGAACACCCATTCAGCTATTGAATCAGCAGTAATGGCAGCAGCTAAATTCATTTAGGCATGCAAACATACTCAAGACGACCCGTCGAACTTTAGATTGAGCATTAGAATGAGGAAAAAAAAGAGATTTAAATGACTTTGAAATGGTGGTTGTGACACGATCTGTTGAGTGTTTCAGGAACTTTACCCTCAAACAACCATCTCTAGGGTCTAAAAAAGAGAAAATATCAAATAATCGGCAGTTCTCTGGGTGAAAATAGCCAGATTGTAACTCAAATAATGTAATAACTCTAACCACATGTTACAACCAAGCCATGCAGAAGAGCACCTCTGAATGCACGTTAAACCTTGAAACAGATAAGCTACAGCAGCAGAGGAGCACACCGGGTGCCACTCCTGTTAGCTGAGAACAGTACGCTGAGGCTTACAGTTCATGTAGCCTCAGCTCACTGTTCATGTAACTCACCAAACCTGGACAACAGAAGATTGGAAAAACAGCTGTGAGCATTGCTGCTGACCGTGTCCATCGCATGACAGTGAGTTCACTGAACTCAGATGGCCTCCACAGTCACCAGGTCTCAGTCCCAAAGGTGACTGCACCTTTGGGATGTGATGGAGCACGACATGGATGTGCAGCCAAAAAAATCTCCAGCAGGGCTGTGATGCCTTCATGCCACCTAATTAATAATGTCCCTTTTAATGTATGAAGTAATAATCTCTTTGCAAAGGCATACACTGGAAAAATACCATTAATGGAGATGTCAAAGCCATTTGAACTTTATGCCCACATGGTAAAATTGAGGCATAGCTGATTTTTCTGTGTGTGTTCAGACAGCAAAACTTTGCTGAATGCTTTATGATGCCATGGTATACAAAATATACCCGTAACCTTGTCTTCGCTTCTTTGTTTGAATTTTGTTTCTAGCACAAACTATAACAACATTCCGGTC